ATGAGGTGTATGTGTGTGCGTGTGGCACCGCAAAGCTCGTCTGGTTGCAGAACCCTCCAAAAAAAATGTATACATATATATGTATATATGTGTGTATATATGTATGTATATATATGTATATATATGTATATATATGTATATATATATGTACATATGTATATATATATGTATATATAAATGTATATATATGCATATATATGTATATATATGTGTATACATATGTGTATATATGTATATATATATATATGTATATACATATATAAATATATAACGTTGCGTAATTAAGACCTCCTCACTTTTCTAAAAAAGATAGCGTCAAAATTAAGGCTGTTTCACTTATTTTTTCTCGCTGTTCAGCATCTGGAACCGCTGGCGCATCTGAAACTGATGTCTTGACTTTCGACTTCTCTCTTACCAAAATCCCCCTTTCACTCCAAAGACCACGGAAAAGTTCCCCTTCTTATATCTCTTCAACTTGTAGATGCTCAAAATTTGCCAATTTTCATGGAGTTCTGTGGCAATTAGTGTGAGGGAAGAGGAATTCACGAAATACGGAGGGAGCGAGTCAGGCGTGCATCAGTCGTAGGAGTAGGAGAGCCTTCGAGCTTTGCAGTAAAATATCAAAATGCATCGAGAACACGTACGCACCGGAGAACAATTGCATCACTGGTATGTGCATTTCAAACAGTGCGCAGAGATACTCATTCGTCTCCCTGGTCAACAAGCCGGAATGCTTCCAGTAATTCATTCAAGTCAATGAAGCCGTCCTTGTTGAAATCGATGCTTTCTGCGATTTCCTCCAAATACGGTGCTGTCAACGGGCTGCGAGTATATTGCCCCAGGATTTTGCAAGCATCCAGGAATTCCTTCATTGATACCAAACCGGAATTGTCCTTAACAAGTTATGATAATACTTTTTTTCATCATTGGGCATACAAAAACTCAGGCTGCAACGCACCAAACTTACCAGTGCGGTCATACATTTTCGTGCTAAAGTAGCAGATCGCTAACAGCAGGAATGGTCCCTGCTCTATAATTTAACACTTGGACTCATATTGGCTGTGTTTTGATTTCTTCCCGCATGCAGGAGAAAGAGCGCCGGCTGGAACGAAGATTTTGCATTATGGGGCCGCATAGACCTCGAGCGTGCATGATTATCGGTTTCTTGCATGAAGTCCGGCTGTTTTTCCGACAAGTGCTCTTTTATTGAAAAAGTGCAAATTTGAAGGGAGTCGAAGAGATTGTGAAATCTACAAAATGCAGTCGTTTTTGAGTCTGCGATAAAACTGAGTATTTCTCATTCTGCGTGCAGAGAATTTCACCTTCAAACTAAATTAAGACTACATATGAATATAGAATAAAACTGTAAAGTTTCAGCTTTGCAGCTTCTCGGATTTGTGAAATAGCCACTTTACTACAAAAATTTTAGAAGTGTCCTAAGGCGCGACATAAGTGCAAGTCGAAACTCAATTTAGGTGCGTGATTTTCCGTATGAACAGCAAATATTTTGACAGAATTTCAGCTTCTGTTTTTCAACTAGTTTTCGAGTTAGCACGGTGTTAATTGCGAAATTTGTCACGATTGCACGTGCAGTATAAGTGTGTGTGATAGCTGAATTTGAAATCTTTAGCTCACACATGTACAGTATCTCTGCAAAGTTTCAGCATTTTACCTCATTTGGTCCACGAAATCGTTTCCCACCAAAGAAATCTGCATATTTTTTTTTTGGGAGGTGGGGGGGCAGGAATCCATACGCGAGATCTAGACACATGTGGGTGAAAATTTTAAAAGGGGAGGGTGACACGTGGGTGCGAATATAACTCCAAATTTTCTGTCTCCCAACTTTCCTGGTTGCTGAGTTGATAATGAATGGCAAAGTTTACTCGCTTTCGAGCACACACATACACACACATGAACGACCTTGCGACAGTATACGTTTTTGCTCACTGTAGTAGCGCTATAGCGCTGTATAGTGAAAACGCATAAAAACACAAATAATTAGGCTGGCCGTGCGAAGATGCGTTTTTTGCGTAGGTCCCCGTAAATTTCTGTCGCTAACAGCGCTGTTTTTTCAGGCAGATGCTTCTAGTTAAAAAAATTTCATACTGCCCGCCAGAACTATCAGGAAACATCTCTTCAAAATTCCAGTCTTCTAGCTTCTCAGATTTCAGTTAGCAACTTACTCGAAAAAAACTTTCATAGGCCCATACGTGGAAATGACTCATACCGGGGGATAGATTTGAATTCATTAGTGCCTACGTGAATGGGGAACATTTGCCTAAATTTCCAGTCTTCTTGCTTTTCAGGTTGTTCAGCTATCAACTTACTCAACAAAAAATTTGGTGGACCCGTACGTGGGTATCACGCATACTCGGGAGCTGGGTATGAGCACAATGAGACCTGGGTGGACGGGGAATATCCTCTCAAAGTTACATTCTTCTAGCTTTTCAAATTCTCGAGTTAGTGAATTACCCGAAAACTTTAGCGGACTCGTACATGGGTACCACGTATACTCGAGGGCTGGGTTTGAGCTCATTGAGACATACGTGGACGGGGAACATCCGCTTAAAATTTCAACTTTTTAGCTTTTCTGATTCGCTAGTTAGCGGCTTACATGCAAAAAACTTTCATGGGCCCGTGCATGAATACAACACGGGTAATGCCGCCCATTTTGGGGATGGGGGTCCCGCACATGCATGTGGATTAAGCTCCCAAAGTTTCAGTCCCATAACTTTTGTAGGTCTCGAGATGAAAAATCGGTGGCTCAGCGCACACACAGACACAGACACACACACACAGCCTCTCGTCAATATGCGTTTTCCACACTGCATAGCTGCAAAAAACGCATAAAAATTATGAAGTGCAACCTTATCCATAAATCGGAAGAGTGTCTCAAGGGTACTCTTGTGCCTGTACAACGTTTCAACCACATCTGGTTTCTCCTGCAATGTTAGATGTTAAGATAACAGTATTTGAGGATTTGAAAAGAGACATTGCGCGTCTCAGTAAGAAAAAAAAACGATCCACACCTGTGCAAATTTTTTGCCACCAGTGCCCATCTGTATTGCTGGTGGATTTTCTTTGTAAAGCACATTTTTGCCATCGTCGGCTAATGTAACGAGCCGTGCAGTTAGTGCATGCCAGGGCAAATTTAGCCCCGTAACATTTTCGACACATTTGCACCACTTATGCACCGAGATTTTGCCTAAATTATTGTATAAAACTGAAAGAAACAGACATGTGCAATATTCTGATTAATGATATATGCAACAGGAAGCTGACCACTGGCCATATTTATTGCCAGTGAGTCTTCCTTGCAAAGCCCTTCCTTCTGCAATAAGCTATCTCAAGTACAAATTGATTTGTAAAATAGTTCGTAACGATGATCGTGTAAACGATTTGAGACATAGAAATCATCATTTTGAATTTATAGCCAGCTTATTTGTGAAGTTATAAATCTGTTAAGGAGTCAGATAATATTGAATACTCGATAATGAATATGTCAAAACAGTCAACACAATCTAACAGCCAAAACAAGTCATATGCCGTCCATACGTACGCATTTTAATTTCGAATTTTTGATTTGGACTGTTCTTACATTATTAACGCAGATCGAATTTGGATCGAAGATTGTTACTGAGGATGCAGAAAAGGCTAAAAGTTGATTTTAGGCCTTTCACCCCATATTTGATTGAGGCCCACGTCTCCAAAAATTCAACTAAATTTTTGCGCTGTGTGCGGGGCGACACGCACATATACATGCACATAAAATCTAGCAAGCAAATATATGCATAAACATGGTGCAAGCGCTTCTTTTCATCAGCAAGAAAAGTAAATACATTATGCGGAGGAGGAGGGCTACGGCTTGCATCGCCATTTACTTAAGATATTAATTAAAAAACTTAGTGATTTTAAATAAGCAAAAGAAATCTACAGCAGCTAATTTGAAGCAATTTGCCAGTTTTTTTCAGAAGAGAAACTGGCGCCATTCCAGGAATTATCATCCTCATGCACGTTACTTCCTGAATGTTTCAATCTGATCAGCCTTCAGAATGCCACACCACTCCAAATTTGATGTTGCTCCTTCGGCCGATCCGGAAAAGCTTGAATTCACGAAGATACGGCTAGCAAACTTGAAAGTCAGAAAAGGGCAAGATCACTCATTTTGGTAGAAGAGTGGTGGAAAAACCACTTTTTTACAGTATCATATTGAGAACACATATAGTTTCTTGAAAAAATCGTACCAGTGTTTTGCGGATCCAAAAGAGCATATTCATTTTGCAGTTGAGAATTGAATGCACCCAATTTGGCGCGTAAATCTCGGATCGCCGACTGTTCCACAACATTTACTCTAAATTCATAGACTTATTCACCACTCTGAGAAGGTTTTTCCATAATAAATCTGTTAGCCTGCTTACATGGATACTCATAATGCGTTTTTCGGCATTTATACAAATGCAATAAACAGCGGCATGCCCTAGGTTAGCCAGTGCAATCTTGCATTC